GTTTGTGAGTGAATGGGTTTGCGTGTGTATGTGGGTGTTTGTGTTTGCGCGCGAGCGTTCGCACATATTTTACCACCCATGCCTTTGTTTTTGACTTGATATTTATAATATGCATATTATTGCATGAACATAACATGCTTTATTAATGAAATACAACTGCTGTGTGAAAGATGGGGGTTTGGAAGGGCCGGATGCAACACAGGCCTGCGTGCTAGATTTGTAACCCTTTGAAAATAAAGTTCGTTTGTTCGTTCGCTCGATATCCTTTGTATCCTGATATCCTTTGCACCTGATTGTTTTGTCTTTTGTGTTCTCTCCCTATTGTTTTGTAATTAAGTTTTTGTTGAAATCGGAAGTGGGTGTTGAGATCGCAGATTTCGCAGCTTTCCTAAAAACAAAAGGACATGGTACGAAAAGCCTTTCTAATAGCGTTTCTTTTAATGTAACAGGTATGGGTTAACTTATTCTAGTCCATCATAGAGACATCATTTTCATGGACAAAATCACAGTTATAACATGTACATACATACTTTCAAACGTTTGTCGGTTTGACTGTCTGTCCGTTTTCTGTTTTAATCTTTCCTGTCTGATGGTCGGTCGGTTTATATGTCATTCTATCTGTCTGTCTTTTATTTGCTCTGCATATCCATCTATACGTCCATAATTGCTTGTCTTTGTGACGGTATTCTGATTTATATATATATATATATATATATATATATATATATATATATATATATATATATATATATATATATATACCTACCTAATCATGACTCAGTTCAGTATTTATTTTGGGGGTGCCTACTTGGCTATGTTCTTAGTACGCTTGTTTCCATAGCGAGGCGCAACGCCATATGGATGTGACAGGTTTAATTTCCGGCACGGTAACTATTGCTTTCTGGTAATCTGGTAATCCTAGTTTCAGCTTCATAGCAAACGGGTCACCCCATAGTTGCTCCGCTCCTGTGCCAACGAAAAACACACGTAGCCCACAGTGTCACTATTGTTTTCATTTTTATGTTGTCTAGTGTGTCCTTCTATATTTTTATGAGTGACGATTGATACACTGTCCTTTTATTAATTATGTACCTATAGTCTTTTGTATGTAAGCATGACAGACCTGTGCCATAAAAATACACCAGTTGCCTCTAATAATTTTCATTATGAAATCCTCCACAGGCTCGAAACAAGGTCGTTCGCACACCAGCACCTTACGAGCAGCCACCTCCAGCCACATTCAAACGGGCTGCAACTCCTATCAGCGAGTGGGGAGACAGTACATCAATCAACCTTCCTGCCACTCCCCCTGGCGAGGGCTTTCTTGATGAGCTGAGGACGGTCAGTATTGACAATAGCAACATCTACTATCAGCTAACAATTAAGGTCAGGGGTGAATTTCCTCCTCTCCTTAGCTCAAAACCTGGGCCGTGTTGTAGATACTAAGTGTTGCCAATGCATCTTGATCCCTCACTCAGCCCGCCTTGTTCCCTAACAATGAAAGGTAACACCAATACGTTTGAAACAAGCATGCTGTCAATGAGCTTCCCTCCTAGACCACCTGTCAGCAAAGACTAAAAGCCTAGTCTGCCCTACCATAAAATGAAGTTTTCAGGTTGTGTTTCGGCTAATATCTTCCCGAGTGATCTCATCCGCCAGAAGACATTGGCACAATGAGAGATGCTGCTTAGGCTCTGTATTATAGTACAGAAAACTACACGCATTGTTTCACATGCATCGTGTGTAACTACTCGTAGCTACTGGGTGAGTTAAGTAATATTGTCTATTTTTCATGCCATCCATTTACCTTTTCTAGAATATGATGTTCTATATTTCAGACGATCGATTCCTTACTTTTTTTTTTTTTAAATGACGTTTTTATTTCAGACAATCGATTTACCCCTTCTAAATTATGAGGTTCTATATTTCAGACGATCGATTCCCCTCTTCGAGAATATGACCAGAGCTCCTACAGCGCCAACCAGAGCTGGCGCCACACTGCCAGACCAGGCCAAGAGCAAGTTGACGTCATCATCCACGGAGCCAGCAACCTTCCAAATGCTTCCAATGGAAAAGTTCCACAGCCTTTCGCCACATTGTAAGATTTTAGCACATCTTTGCACACCTTGTGAAATATTTCAATTGCTGTCTGGTATCTTAAGGTATTTTCTAGAACTTACAAGAATTGTCTTTATTTTCTAGAAGTTAGGATTTTATAGGGTGCAGCGTAGCGGATTTGTTTCAAAACTGACCTTGGCTCGAAGGTCGACCCAGCCCTAATTTGGGTAGCAGGAAATTTCCTGGGAAGTAAAGATTGTCGCCGTGATGTTGATCACGCCACCTGTCAACTGCTGATTGGTGGATAGAGTATAGGCCTAGCACTATATGCGCCAAAGGCGTGAAAAGTTTACTTCACTTTATATTACACTACTTTTCTCTATTTTACTTCCCTTTATATTATAAAACCTTACTTTGATTAGTTTACTTGACATCACTTTACATTTCGGATAATTACTTTTTTTTTACAATACTTTTCTTACTTTACATCAATTTACTGTAGTTTACCTCCCTTTATATTACATTACTCACTTTGCTTTACATTACTCACTTTGCTTCACTTTACATTACTTTATGTTAATAACTTTATATTAGATTGCTCTACTTAGCTTACTGTATATTACTTTACATTACTTTGCATCGTTTCAAGATTCTGGAAAATCACAAATGTGAAAAGTCACAGTGACAGCAGCTTTTCGAAAATCAGGTCTTATTTAGCTGATGGACAGAGGCCGTTGACCTCATTTGACCACACGCTGGTCGGCTCTGAACAAGGCCAACGACATCAGGAAAACATTGTCGTGGGTGCGATGGAGGGGAGCCTTTCGCTCCCTTACATATTTTCTAGCGGGACCTCAGTCCCTTAACTTCTTCTTCTTCTGCGTTCGATATCAGTCATGCTAAACATTGAGTCCCGTCTGGGTCACAAATAGGATTGTGCGTTTAAGGTCGCCACCGGTCCCCCATAGCTTCTCTTGCAATGTGGCTCCTTTGGGCCAGATCCACAGTCTTTGCTGGGAGAGGTTAGGGCAGTACTGTAGTATGTGCTCTGGGGGTTTGTCTTTCTGCTCCACAATCACAGGCAGCAGATTCTTTTATGCCTATCCTGTACAAGTGTGCTCGAAGACCACAGTGTCCAGTCCGAAGTCTAAAAATTGATATTTGTTCTTTCCTGTTGAGTTTGTTTATGCTGTCACTCTCTGGACTGTAATCACCATTCTGCCTTTTCCACTCCCGCTTGACCTCATTTCCTTAGTCCCTTAACATATCTCCTGGGGAATGGGGGCCTCAGTACACCCTAATAAATATGCTGGTGGGACAAGATGATTGAGCGCTCAGGCTACGGTGCATCTAGATCATAATGACTAAACAAACACAAAAGCATCTTGTAAACTAGACGAAATAAAAGTCGCTCGAATATTGTGTTCAAACTCTTTATCAACGAACTATCAACATAAAATACTTCGCTTGTTCCATGTTGTGCAGTGATGCATACATGTGTTGATCGACTGTAGTGTTGCGCTGCTCCACACAAAGTATCGATTTGTCTCTGCCCCATATGTAAGTATCCGATATATGGTACGTTGTACCTGCTAACCACGTCCGAAATCTAGAGCTGGCCGTGCTGCTAAGAGACTGAACTGAATTTCTACCCCACCAGGACATCACACAAGCGATAAACACCCGATGACACAAAGTGCCACCATGTGGATGAGGATCGCCGTGGAGAGGTCCCAGAAACCGCGTTCAGACATTTGGCCATATAAATGGCCTGCCTATATTGCGGCCCCTGGCAAAAGCCAGAGTGGGGCTTCAAATGACAAAAAATTTCGTCCTAAAAAGGACGAAATTTGGTATTGTTGGATACAAGCTAAGAGACAGGCATGCGTGCTATTTAAAGGAAATGTCATACTTTTTACCTTCTACAACAGAAGACGGAAAGCGAGATGGTGCCAAGGAAGGCGAGATGGTGCCAAGTGTAGTGGTATAGTTTGGTGGAATTTATCGTCGCCTGGAGATCCCCTATACTCCTTCCTAATAATTTACAGGGCTCGAATTAGGAAAGTCTAGGAATTTCTGATGGTCCCTGAGTTCATAAAGAAAGGAAGGAAAATACAGAAAATCAAAGAAATAGGGTGAATCCCCGGAATATAATGGAATACATAATTATTTTTCTAACTAAATTCAGAAAACCAAAGTTCAACACTTGGTAAATTGAACTCAAATAAATCACAATGTACAATACTTCGATGTATGAGTTTTCAAGAAAACAACAATTGTATTGATATAATGCTGACTAAGAATCATAACAAATTATTCAACTCAAAAGGAAATTAACTCATCATTCCACATGAAAAAAAAAAACCATTTCAATGTATCAACTTCACTCATCTCGACAATCGTTCAAGCTGAATACGGCGATCTGTGGTATGGACAATACACTGGCGGCAACAATTGTAGGAATTGGATATCAGCATAAGTCTTCAGTTCATTTCGGAATCTCCGTCTATAATGTTGTTAACCATCCATAGGGTTACCGGGAACCTGAGAAAATACATCAATCAGCCTTGTGTTGAGAATTATGTCGACACATCTGGGGCAGGTAGAGGTGTTGTGGTGTTTGTGGTGTTTTCAGATAAGTAAGGGAAAGAGCAAGGTTCATACTTTGTCTTTCTCCACGAGCAATATCACAAATAAATCTCTCCACCCTGTTATAATATATTTTTTTATACATATCCAAATTATTGCACGATCATTTAAAACTTGACATATTTAAGTTAACACAAATTCGCATGCGGATTGGACAGTCATTAGTTCAAGTCCCATCAGACCCAGGTCGACTTCGCCTTGAATGGACACCAGGTATAGTCATGGGGAGTAAATGCGGCAGGTGTGATGTTGACCACATCAACGCCCAGGTACCACTTGGTCTATAAAACATAGGCCAACCCTATATGCCCACAAAGCTGACGACTTTTACTCAAATTTTATGTTGCATAAAATAATAAACATAAGCAATGTAGCGTATACCCAACTGATGATACCACATGGCACAGGATGATGGTTTATTATACTGTAAGATCTTTACGCAAGGAAACCGAATGAATATTTTCCGAAAAGGTGACAGAGGGAAGGAGGGTTCGCTATTGTATGGTCATAACTGTGCATAGTAATCTAAAGAAAGTTATAGATGTAGAGACTAGTAAATTGTCCAACGGACAAGTATCAAGGTTGATGAAGTCACGGAATATTTATACAATGGTAGAATATAGAATGGTAGGATCTCGATAAAATATTTCAGGATACAGCTAAGGCTTACAGGGGATCTCAGCTACTCCCTACCATTATAAATCTCACCTGAATTCGTATGATTTTATTATTAATATTAGTTCTTGGTAGTAGGCCGATGGAATGGCTTGGGCTGTCGTTTGGTGTAGTGACGAATCTAGCTCTAAGGGTTTCTCCTAGTAACACTACGAAAACTTCATAAGTTATGTTGCTCCTTCGTACATTTTCTACTCTTCTCGCATCTATGTTCAACTATGTTTATTTTAAGTGCGCAATTCTTCTAACCACATGATGCAATTAACTCTTGCCGGACTGAAATCTTCCGTTGGTTTGTCACACAAGGAAGGCGAGATGGTGCCAAGGAAGGCGAGATGGAGACAAGGAAAGAAGAAAGTAGATACACCTAGTTAAAAAGACATTTGGTGGAAAAAGGATTAATTTTTAGCTAAAAATAAAAATGTTCAGTGGAGATTTAAAAAAAAATATATACGAAGTATCGTGTTGATAAAATAACAAGATAGTGAACATGTCTATAAACACTTTTTTTTCCCAGAAAAACAAAAGCAGACATGGATGCAAATCAGAAGGCTAAGTCAAGGACACACGCCGTTGTCAAGCCAACCAACGCGCCATCTTGGGAAGAAATGGTTACAATAGAAACAGACGAAAAGAATTCGGATAAAACGGGTATAGATTTTGACATTTGTTTTTCCTTCAGAAGAAATTGATTCTTAACCTGCGACACAACTACAATGGACATCTGCTGCTGCTGCTTCCTCTCTTCTTTTTTTTTCCCCTCTTCTTCTTCTTCTCCTCCTTTCTCTTCTTCTTTTTCTTCTTCTTCTTCTCCTCCTTCCTCTTCTTCTTCCTCTTCCTCTTGTTCTTGTTCTTGTTCTTGTTCTTCTTCTTGTTCTTCTTCTTCTTCTTCTTCTTCTTCTTCTTCTTCTTCTTCTTCTTCTTCTTCTTCTTCTTCTTCTTCTTCTTCTTCTTCTTCTTCTTCTTCTTCTTCTTCTTTTATTTTTCTTCTTCTTCTTCTTCTTCTTCTTCTTCTTCTTCTTCTTCTTCTTCTTCTTCTTCTTCTTCTTCTTCTTCTTCTTCTTCTTCTTCTTCTTCTTCTTCTTCTTCTTCTTCTTCTTCTTCTTTTTCTTTTTCTTTCTTCTTTCTTCTTCTTCTGGTTCTGCTGCTGCTATTGCTGCTGCTATTGCTGCTGCTACTACTACAGCTACTGTCACTACGTTACTATTACTACTGATGCTGCTACTACTAATAGCACTTATCATTATTTTAAATATTAGTGTTATTTTTTTTTATTATTACTATTAATATTTCTCGGCAGCAGCCGTGGTGTAACGGCTAGAATCTCGACCACGGATCTCAAGGTCGTAGGTTGGTGTCATGACCGAAGCAGGACATTTTATTTTCGCAAAAACAAACAAAATGACCGCGGCTCACAGGTCGACGCAGCCCTAAATGAGTACCTAGTAAAATCTGAGAAGTAAAAGCTGCCCCCATCACTCACCGAGTGCTGATGGCTATATAAAATGTTGTTCTAGCCCAATACGCCTGAAGAAGTGGAAAAGAGTTCCTTAATTTATTATCACTTATTCTGCTTCTTTTTCCCCCGAAAACTTTAACGTGCCGCTCTACGAGGCCGAGCTGACCACAGGTCTGGGAACAACGATCCTGCCTCTGGTGGATATTGAGCAAGGACCATTGTCATGGCCAGCACGCTCATCGAGAGCTGTGTCCTGGTCACTCTGTGTGAACTTCGATGCTCTTCGACCTGCAGTACGCTGACCAGTGCCCATTCCTCGGAAATCTCCTGAGGGTCTACCCGAAATGCCCCCCCCCCCCCCATTGTCTGCGTCTAAACTAGGAACTAAACAAAAATCAAATGCAACTTATTGCAGAGCTTTGTTTCTAAAAAAAACAATACTCCGGCCACATAACCTCAAAGCAGCTGATGCCGCTTAGCTAAAAATTGTACATTTATGACATTGTCTTATACATATATACACATACTAACATACTAATATTTTTACATACACACTCATGCATACACATATGATCATGTGTACATAATCGTACCCACTGAGACATACTCTTACTTACACATACATTCACCACTCAAGCATGCACAGTCTGTCACAGAAATCACGCCATTTTGCAACCCCGGACTCCACTCATTCACTTGCTCGATTGACAGGACAGCATCATACAGAACCTTCATTAGCCAATGAACTGCTTTACGGTTCATCCTTTCGCATATCCAAAAGAAAAATTGATAACAGAAAACTCCTGCTTCTCTTTGGTGCATGTCAAAAGTAGGTCGGTCATCTTTAAACTGTCCTCATGGCGTCAGCGTGTTCGTTCACGTCGTATTGTAATGTGCTTAATTAACACTCGTGAAATTATCAACATCAATAATGACAGGTTACAAGACACTGACATTGTTACTATAATGTATATTACATCTTCGAGGGTTTCACTGGAAGTTAAGAATGGAGGTGGAGACAGTCACTGCTGCCTTCCGCTGTCTTAGGAATCAATTATACACACATGTAATTGCAGCTGACTCGCAGAGCATGACGAGAAAGACGGAGACAGGCATGCTCCGTGCAGAGGGGGAAGAATCGCTCCAGGTCACGCCGTAGTTTTGAAGAAACGAGCAGGCAGATAGACTGGCTGACTCTGCACCACTTGGTGCTAAATTGATGTATAACAAACTAGATGTTGTGAAGGCCTTTTGGGAACGAGTGAACGGTGCGAAGGTACCAATAGATCATTAGGTTCTGAATAGAATGGCGCTGCGAGGAGTTATCAGGGGATCTTCCGACGCTTAACACTCAAGGGAGAGGCGAGACGAATGTACAATCAGACAGTTACTGGTGCCATCGGAAATGGAACTTTTCGCTTGCTGTTGAAGATGGGAGTCAGGTGAAGCCTCCTAGTAATAAAGAAAATATGGTCCATATATCTGTCTAGTCATCATTTTTCGGCCATGTTATGAGAAGAGGGAAAATAGAACATGTGACCACTGGAAAGATCTGTGGAAGGAGGGATAGAGGAAGACACCGAGAGAAGATGCTTGACAGTCTTGTTGCATAGCATGGAAGTGTGTAGGCACACGAATTGATACATACTGCAGGAGATCGCAGATTATGGAGAGTCAGATCGCCCACACCAGTCGGCAAGGCACCTGATGATGATATCTGTCTCAGCCGTCAGCAGTTACCCGAAGCCTGTTTCCCATTTTCCTGGTCCACATTTTAAACAAAACAGGACCGCAAACACTGATGTGTTTTACACATTCCCTTCCAATATGGGACGCAATTATTTTTATTTTTTGAATGCCCCACTTCAGCTGTAGTTTGGGGCCCTAATATAACCTGAAAGTTTAACGGTGGTCAGGACTTGTACACGGGCGATTCTCATCGGAATGTGTCACCTGGTGTTTACGACTCGTTGTGCGGTACTGGTGAGGTTAAACGTCACTCACTCATTTCGCATAACCCCAACTCCAGGATACTAAATCATAAAGAGGAAGTAATTAATGCAAAGTTATTTTATGATTAAAGTAATTGATTAAACCCCTTGCTAAGTATGAGAAAGAGATTTTACCAAGACCTCATTCTGTGCTTGCACAACGTTCCACAGGACTTGTTCTAGCCGTCAACGACTGGATCAGCCGGGAAGAGTTAACCAAGTACATCATCCCTGTGTCCAGCCTGCAGCCTTTCCACCAGTACCATGTGGAGATGGTCACAGTAAGTGAGCTTTTTAACAATTTAGGACGGACCCACCCTGACAGACACAGAGCTGGGTGCCTAAACAACATGATGAGTTTATGTCGGTGTGCGTCGGTGTGTGTGTTTGTATGGGTCTTTTTGTGCGGCTACGTGCGTGTATGTATGTGTGTGTGTGTGTGTTTATAGCTGTGTGTGTCTATATATGCCTGGGTTTTATGCGTGTGTGTTGTAGAGCGCACGTCTGTGTGGGTGACTGTGGGTATGAGTGTATGTAGATAGGTAGGTAGGTGTAGGTGTAGGTGCGTGCGTGTGTTCGCACGTGCGTGCGTGCGTGCGTGCGTCTGTGCGCATGTGCGTGTGCATGTAGGCAGGTATGCATGTAGGCATGCATGTATGTAGGCATGTATGCATGTGTGCATGTATGCATGTGTGTGTGCATGTGTGTGTGCATGTTTGCATGTGTGTGTGCATGTATGCATGTGTGTGTGCATGTATGCATGTGGGTGTGTGCATGTATGCATGTGTGTGTATGCATGTGTGTGTGCATGTGTGTGTATATGTGTGCATGTGTGTGTATGTGTGTGTGCATGTGTGTGTATGTGTGTGTGCATGTGTGTTTATGTGTGTGTATGCATGAGTGTGTATGTGTATGCATGCGTGTATGTGTGTATGTGTTTGCATGCGTGTATGTGTGTATGCATGTGTGTATGCATGTGTGTGTATGCATGCGTGTATGTGTGTGTATGCATGCGTGTATGTGTGTGTATGCATGCGTGTATGTGTGTGAATGTGTGTATTTGTGTATTCATGTGTGTATGTGTGTATGTGTATGCATGCGTGTATGTGTGTATGTGTTTGCATGCGTGTGTGTGTGTATGCATGTGTGTGTATGTGTGTGTATGCATGCGTGTATGTGTGTGTATGCATGCGTGTATGTGTGTGTATGCATGCGTGTATGTGTGTATGTGTGTATGCATGCATGTATGTGTGTATGCATGCATGTATGTGTGTATGCATGCATGTATGTGTGTGTGCATCCATGTATGTGTGTATATGTGTGTGCATGTTTGTATGTATGCGTGTGTGTGTGTTCATGTTTGTATGTATGCGTTTGTGTGTGTGTGTGTGCATGTTTGCATGTATGTGGATGTGTGTGTGTGTGTATTGGGTGCCTATGTGTGTGTTTGCGAGTGAATAGGTTTGCGTGTGTGTGTGGGTGTGTGTTCGCGCGCGAGCGTGCTCACATATTTTACCACCCTTGCCTTTGTTTCTGACTTGATATTTATAATATGCATATTATTACATGAACATAACATGCTTTATTAATGAAGTACAACTGCTGTGTGAAAGATGGCAGTTTGGAAGGGCTGAATGTAAGACAGGCCTGCGTGCCTAATTTGTAACCCTTTGAAAATAAAGTTCGTTCGTTCGTTTGTTCGATCCTCCTCATAAACCACTTCTGTCGTCAAGAGACGTGGGGAGGGACGATTAGCGATCCAGTATACACTGGCTGCCACTGACTATTGTCATGACGTGGACGATTAAAGTGTCTTTAATGTTATCGCTCCATGGTTTTCGTGGCCGTCCTCTTGCTCTTGTAGCAGATTTTTTGAGATGTAGTGCAAATGATAGTATTTGATGTTGCTGCACTCTAACGAGATAGTTGATCTGCCGTTTCTTGATGAATGTAATATAAGCTGACGTTCACTTAATCTGTTATCTGCCAATAACACCCACTGGCATAAATAATAATTATTATCTATACACACATGATTCGGTTGTTAAATACACATACACTTAAGTTATTTACTAGTCTTTCTTTTCTACGGGCTGGTCCTTTTTCCATTTGCTTATGCTATGGTCATCCTCAGTGTCAGCTGTACACAGACTGAAAGTCTTGAAAAGGTGCACAATGAAGCCATGCGCATTGGGGGGGGGGGGGGGGGGTTGTTGTACTAGAGACACATCCTGTCTAACAGTGAGATATGTACTTGACTTTCCGACCATGAATCAAAGGATCAGAATCTGGAGGGCTCCTGTTTACCTCAAAACAAGCGCTGATAGAAAGGGAAAAAAAATTGCATCAAGCACTCTACACTAAAAAAAAAAAAGGCGACAGGCTGAAGAGGGGTAAGTCATTACTTGGTCGGGCAGAAGATGTCTTCAAGCAAGTATGTGGCCCAACCAATATAACTCCTGGTGAAGAGTGAATACCCGTGCCTCTTGTGTTTAATTGCAACTTTTCTTATATTGTCATGCTGGACAGAAGATGCAGGGAGCATAATGCTGTTGTGGTCATGCAGAGGTCAACGCTCTCATCAGCGATGACTCAGACGAAGCAGATGTACTGATCTGCACAGACGGATCTGTTATTCAACAATAAAGAAGTGCATGGGCCTTCACAGAACGCTCAGCCAGCAGAACAATCACAGAATCCAGCGCTGCCTTCTCTGTGACAACAACCAGCATGACAATGAAGGCGATGGCGGTAACGCAAGCATTCGTATGACTAGGAACACAAGACTATAACCCGTGCGTGTGTGCTTAGTGATTCCTTGAGCATGATCCGGAAGATCCAGGCAAGTTCTGTGCGGAAGTGGATTATATAAATCTACTGGGTGTAACGTCGTCTTTCTCTTCGTTCCGGTAGACGTGAGCGTCGATGGAAACGAAAGGGCTGATATGTTGGCTGGATCCGCAGTCACTGCTGAAGATCAACCCATGGATCATGCTGTGTTAATAATGCGCTCAGAGAAGTGGGAAGGGTGGAAGACTTTGGAGACAGAGACATCGCTCACCAGAATGAAAGACTCGGGAGTTAAATATCGACAGCGCCAAAAGCAAGAAACACGCCGGGCATACAAAAAGACTTATCTGTCCACAAAGAACTGGCGCTATAGTCACAGGACGCTCGCTTTCATATTGAGGGAAGGATCTGACCACCTATGAACATGTCCTGAGCTCAGTGATCATATCCTAACAAACTAACACCAAGTTATTTATCATCATCATCACCATCATCATGTCCTGCTTTTATAAGTTTTGACGGGACATACAGCACAGTCAACGGTTCTTTCTTGTACAGCCCTGTCGATATTATGGACGGAGCCCAGTCTAGCGGTTACGGCCTCTCTATGAAAGAGGGTAGATAAAAGCGCAGAATTTTAGACGGGCTCATCACGAACAAGGACACGGGACTAACTCAGTTTGCGGACGATTGTGCAATCTACCACAGCCATAATCAGATCCCCTGCGCTAAGAAAAGATTGCAGAAAAGTCTAGACGAAGTTGCGCATTGGATGGGAAAATGGGGATTTAAAATCAACGTCGACAAAACAGTAAGCATGATATTCAACTTTAAAAGACAGCTTAATTATGACCCAGAAGTAACGAGACTCCAAATTAATGGCAGAACAGTTCAGCGGACACGTTCCACGAAATTTCTAGGAATGATTCTGGATGAGCAAATGACCTGGGCTAAGCACATCGATGATCTCGTAGTAAAGTGCAAAAAGTACAATAATATGCTGAAAATGATTAAAGGAAACGGATGGGGAGCACACCAGGACACCCTAATACAATTTTATAAAGCTTTCGTTAGGGGCAAAATGGAATACGGAAGCATAGTATATGAATCAGCATCAGAGAACAGCAAATGCAAACTTGATAGGATTCAGTGCCAAGCCCTGACTTCCATCATGGGCGCTGGCAAAGGGACATCGAGAGAGGCCATGAAGGTAGCACTAGGCATCACACCGCTTAAACTCAGAAGGAAACAACTAACTTATAGCTATTGGATGAAAGCGGCCAACGATGCCAGACACCCAGCTTCAGACGCTTTTCATCATAACATTACCCACCTAGGTGACAGAACGGTCAGAGACATACAGAGACCAGCAGCCTGGGACGCTGCACTAGAAATTAACGATGATGAGGACTTAGCTAGGACTCTAGAGGCAAGCGTTAGATTTATCACTCAAATCCCTCCATGGAGACTAGAGCTGCCCAGGACAGACATGAGTCTGATGAAAATTATTAATAAGAATACTGAAACATTGGAAGCCAAAGCAATAACAGAAGAATACATAGACCAGATCCGATCAGACAATCTGGTTGCATACACTGACGGATCTAAGAATGAAGCAGGAGAAGTAGGAGCAGGAGTAATAATCCCACAGTGGAATATACAAAGAGAATATAAAATAACAGATCATGTGGCAGTATGCACAGCAGAACTAGTCGGCATAATGAAGGCACTAGAGATGGTAATTAATAAACCTCCAACTAAATTTACCATACTGACAGATTCATTGTCCTCGGTGCAGACGTTAAAAACACATAAAACTAACAGTAGACCAGATATTAAAGAGACAATCCTAAATCTAACAACTCAGCTCAAGAATAAAGGATGCCAAGTCACCATTGCATGGGTACCAGCACACAGAGGTGTAATAGGCAATGAAAAAGCTGACATAGCAGCCAAAAAGGGAGCAAAATGTGATGTTTTAATAGATGTAGGACTCGGAAAAATAGAAAGGACCAGCATAATCAAACGACATATAATTAAAATGTGGAAACTGCAATGGCAAGGGAGCAATAATGGCAGAGATGCCTACAATAACCTTAAAGAGCCCAGCCTTAACACACAGGTACGGGACAAACTGAAAATTCCAGCCAACAAACTACTATGGAGAGCTAGATTAGGGTGGCACCCAGAGAAATTTACATCTCCACTATGTCTGGACTGCTTTCAAGATAATACATTAGAGCATTATATAATAAACTGCACTAAATATAAATTGGAGAGGAAACCCATTGAGGAGTTTTTTCTAAAACGCAAACAACAAATTACTGCAAACAAATGTTTAAATGTAGATAGCAATAAAGACATCCAAAAACTGGTTAAACAATACCTTATTAAAACAAATCAAAACTAAAAAGACCAGATTAGGGATTTACTCAGTATAACAGAAGGAACTGATGAGATGGTAACCCCGGATATCCTAGAGTCAGAAAGATAGTGTAAGTATGATGAGTGCATAGATGTGAACATGGACACATACACAAGGATGAGTGCGTGTAGTATGAGTGCATTTGTGTATAGGATGGATACATAAGACACAGTGTATGTAGGCGGATGGTACGGAATCACGTGTGGACGGAACAGTGGGAAGATAGTTGTGCGAAAGGTACAGATGAATGAGTACATGGATTTAAATGTTACTGTATGCATGTATATGTGGGTATGCGTGTGCATGTGTGTATATATATGAGAGCGTGTATATTTATATATTTGTGAGTGTATGAATGACAGTGCAATCAAAGAAACCATAAACTGTGTTGCTGTATGTCTGTTCATTAATGAGAACGAATGGAATGAAGGGTGTAAGCAGCAAGAACGTCATCGCACACCATCCACCAAAACATGATACGTCAGTACCGGACAGGTCACATACCAGTAACGGGACATAGCTTAAGAGTGACACGACCAGACGAAATTACAGACAAAGCGACACAACACGCATAAGACATGGAAGAGTGAATATCACTACGTGTGGATGTACTCGTTTTTTTTATGAATGTAAGTACAGGCATTGGTAAACGCATATGAAAGAGTTTGCGTGTGTACGTAATGTCAATTAGGTATGCATATACGGATAAGTATGAAAGGACGTACAAATATGTAGTGTTGTCTGCATGTATGAGTACTCGAGTGCATGTACGCATACACCTAGTTGGGTGCGTCCATATACTCCGGGGATTCATAAACAAAACCATCCCACTCCACAGCATGCATACAACATGCACATGACCGACAGGACTCATAACAAAAATATGACTGACAGCAAATAGGGAATACAAGTGACTCGATAATGACAGGACTAGAACGCATAACCTCCAATACCACCCCATCACTGGGATGATAGCAAAGGTTGGTAACGTGATACACATAGTCCCGGCAAAAAGCCACGCTAGAATCCAATAAGACGGCAACGACGAGAATTGACTGAATGGCCTCCCGCTCCCCTTCCCCCCACCATTCCCTAAATCTTTCGGATGCACTATGAGTTTAACCCCCCAACCCATTCCCACAGAGAGCACTTGAGTTCGTTGCCCAACATGCCACAACAATTCTCATCGCCGATCATTTGGATCTCAAAGCGTGAGCTGGACGGTCCGGTTATATGGTATTTACGTACACCGGAGCTTAGCTATCAACACAACCCGATCACATAATAACAAATGACGACTGGACCCGCTTAAGACTCCACACAAACTCTCACACACATATCCAATACATGACTAACCCGTTCATATTACAGGAAGACAACTATAAGACCACTATGGTCACACGCGGAAAATTTTCACATTTCGGAACTATTCACATTCAAAAACTGTTTTCAGTACTTTTTGGCCAAATTAAAATACTCAAAATTTTAAAACAATAAATGGTGGCCGAAAGGTCGTTGTGTTTGGAAGCTCGCTCTCCTTCGAGATACGCCTAGCCAGATCAAAGGGAGACAGAACAAACAGGAAACACCAAGAATGAAGAAGGAAGACATGCACCAGTGACAACAGGACGAGCGGTTTGATACGGAGGGAAGCATTAAGCCAGAAATGGCACAAACACCAGTATTCAGTCACGAAAGTGATGCAAATAACCCAGACCACAAATATAGACAGAGACTGTTAGCAGCCTAGGCTAGCTAGCAGCAGTCTGAACGTGGTCGAGCTTTTCTTTTTTTTTTCCTTAAAAGGACTTGGACTTAGACGGGCTCAAGTGTCTAGTTCTTAACCCCTTGAAGTTGATTCGTTTGTTCTCTTAATAACGTTCATCTTAGCATTTCTCTTTTCTTCAATCTATTTGTTTCTCATTTCATTGCGCTTTTTGGTGATTTTATGCCAGTTTCTCCTCAGGATGTGTCAAATACATTGGTTGGGTGTGTGTGGGTGTGTGTATGTGTGTGTGTGGTGTGTGTGTGCATGCATGCGTGTGTGTGAGTATGTGTGTGGTGTGTGCGCGTGCGTGTGTGTGTGTTTGTGTGTGTTTAAAGTTAAACCTGCTAAATATCTTGTTGATGTTATAATATTTTTCACAACCGATGTGTAATTCTACCCCACATGCCATATTTCTTAAATTATCTGTTTTTCTTTGTATGTCACTGCGGTTCTTATACTAAAAGTTAACAAACACATGCTTGAGTTGTTTTATTTCTCTTGCAGCCAGCTCGAGGCAGGCCCGAGGGTGTCAAAGTGTACGCTTCTATCGTGCGAAAGCTGGCATCTCTACCAGAACACGCGTCGTCCCCCAATTATCTGGGGCTGGAGGTAAAACTCACACCGAGTATTGTCATCGTGTTTCTTCTTAGTTCCTTTTCATGAATGAATGAAGGAATAAATCAATCAATTCGCCAGTCAATCAATCAATCAAGAATTGTCATCACTGCCCTCGGGACATTCCGACAAGTGCTCTGTCCACTACTTCAGTAGCCAACGAAGAGTCGGCATGCTAATTGTACCAGTTACAAGGTCCAGACTGGTTTCCCGTTCAAAGTTGAATATCGTCCACAACCTGTACACATCCCTCGAAAATTCAATGAAGAAGAAATCAAGCACAATGCACGCACCCCGTAGCTCAAGCGATAATTTTACTTGATGTATAAGTTTTCCCTATAATAAACTGCATGCTCATATAATTGACTTGTCGCATACTAATCACTAGAGATACCGCAGTCTAGTCCCTTTGGTGACAAAGTGAACCACGGCTAATTCTCCATGATGCAGCGATGGCAGCTGTACCAAAAAGATCACGACAAGACTTGATGTGGCAACAGCCGCGATTTTACAGCTGAATACGACGTGGAAAAGCAAAATCAGCATCGCAGTCATGGTCAACATTTACCTATTACTGGTGTTGTCTATTTTCTTATACGGATGTGAGAGTTAGACTCTGACTGTGGAAATGGAAAGGCGGATTCAGGCTTTCGAATGTAAATGCTATAGACGCATTTTACGAATCAATTATTTAGAACACAAAACTAATAAATATGTCAGAGACAAAATATATATATTTGCGGGACATCAGGAGCCTCACTTGGCAGTGGTGAAACGTCGCAAGCTAGCTTGGTTTGGATACGTGGTGAGACATGTTTCGATTGCAAAAACTGTACTTCAAGGAACATTGGGGTGGGGAAGAGGGGGGGGGGGTCGAAGAAGAGGAGGGCAAAGAAGAATCTGAAATGACATCATCAAGAAATTAACAGGACTAAGTTATCATACACTTATTCACCAAGAGGAAGACACAAGAGAAAGATGGCAGGTTTTATGTGCTAGTGCTTCCATAAATATACCTCCACGACCCTAATGGGTCAAGGGTTATGTTATTGTTCCCAGGGTTTCATATTATGTCTTTTAAAAACTAATTCTTGCTTATTGATGATTGCAGGTGTTTCTACGGGGAGTCAAGTACCCGCTACAGAACCCTGTGGGACCACTGATTGCGGTGGCCAGGATCGTGCCGGACTACTACAACTACAAGTAAATTTATTAATTGATACAACTAATTGTGTCAGTGTGTAAAGTTTAGATGATAATTGTATAGCAAAGTTCGGGTGATTGTAGCTACGTGTAAAGTTTAGAGGATAATTGTATAGCAAAGTTCGGGTGATTGTAGCTACGTGTAAAGTTTAGAGGATAATTGTATAGCAAAGTTCGGGTGATTGTAGCTACGTGTAAAGTTTAGAGGATAATTTGGTACCAAAGTTTGAGTGATTGTAACTACGTGTATATTATGGCGAGACCTTGTCTCCAACGAATGTGTGCTCACAAGAGCAAAAATACCATCAATGTATTGAATACTTACTGAAGCAAAGACGTCTGCGCTGGCTGGGACATGTCTCCCGCATGGAGGATGGTCGTATTCCAAAAGATCTCCTATATGGTGAATTGGTAACTGGGAATAGACCTACAGGAAGGCCAAAGCTGCGCTATAAAGAGGTATGCAAACGTGACCTAATAGATACCAACATAGGCACAGAGACATGAGAAAAATCAGCTGCAGATCGGCTACTATGGAGACAGAAAGTGAAAGACGGACTGTCACATTTTGAAAGAAACCGAACACAACGAGCTGTGGAGAGGAGACACCGGAGAGTAAACCTGCCTCACAACGAGAGAGTATCTGCTTTTGTGAGTATCCTGTGTGGCAAAGACTGCCATTCCCGCATCGGACTTTACAGTCACAGCAGATGCTGTTCCCAAAGCCAGCGGCACATCTCCATAGTCCCCCGGGACTGACAGATGCCATTATAACTACGTGTAAAGTTTAGATGGTACTTCAATGGCAAAGTTTGGGACCAAATTTCGAATGATTGTGGTTACATGTAAAGTTTAGATCATACTTAGATGGCAAAGTTCGAATGATTGTTGCTACATGTAAACTTTAGATAAGACTTCAGTGTCAAAATTCGGATGATTGTAGCTGCGTGTTGAGTTTAGATGCCACCATGGGATTATAAAACTCCAGAGACTGTAGCTGAAAATATAGTTTAGGTGTCACTCTAAGGATATAATTTGGGGGATTGTAACTACAAATAAAGTTTAACTTCCACTTTAAGGATACAAATTGAGGGGTTTTAGCTACAGATACAGTTTAGCAACCTCTTTTCTCCCCGTGGGGAGCTGCTAATGTGGCGGATAGATGTTCGCCTGCTGATCCGAAGGTCTTGGGTTCAAATCCAAACTCAGCCAGACATTCTTTCTAAACTGATCCAGCCTTAAATGGGTACCAGGTAAAATATTTGGAGGTAAAGGCGGTCAGTGTGATGATGACGACATCACCCTGCGAATATCAATTGGTATATAAAATATAGGTCTAGCTCCAATGTGCCTGAAAGCGTGGGAACAGTCTTTTTACTTTCCTTTTCCCGGTGCCATCTCTTTTTCAATTATTCTCCATTGTTGTCTACTTTCATGACTCTTTGTCTCTTTCTCTCCTATGCCCCTTTCCCTACAGAGTGTACGTGTGTGCATTTGTGTGTCATCATATCTCTAGATACACATTAACATATTTCTGCTTGTTCTATTCTTGATGGTATTCTCTCAGCTGTAACCAGCAATACCTCGTAAGTAACAACTACATTATCGCTGTTTCTCTTTGCTAACGAAGGATTTACAACCGCAATGCCAACTTTACCGCTTGTGAATTTCTTGTGAAGCTACGTATTTCGTCTTCATTTGTTCCATTGCATGTTGACAGCTATGTGGATGTTAACGCTAGTGCTCTCCCCTGTGCTTATATGCCTACAGGAACGACAACCTGTTATCTAACCCTCGAGCGGCAGGAGTGTCCATGTTCAGCGTTTCGTTCCCCAACCCGCCACCTCACACGTTCGCAGTCTCTGGCAGATCCTCACACGGCTACCCGCAGGTCAGTGCACTCGCTAACGTGGCCATAGCTTATGACTGATGTGTCTTATGTTTTATTCTATGCAATCTGTCTGGATCAGCTGAGATAAGAAAGAGAATGCTTTAGAGCTTTATAAATCCTATCTTGATGTATGGAAGTGAACCATGGACAGTTGAACGATTAGTCACAAACTGGAAGCCGCAAGATGTGGTTTTAAAGATGAATGATGAGAATGCAATGGACCTATTTAAAAAAAAAAAAGCGGCGTCCGTGGCTTAGGCGTTGCGAGTCCGACTCGTAAGTCCAACGTACCGCGATCGAAACCCATTGCTGGCTGCGTGGATTCTTATCTTGATATGGGACGTCGTAGGTCGACCTAAAATGGGTACCAGGATGTACGTCCTGGGAAAGTAAAGACGGCTGGTGTAATGCTGACCACATTATCCACCTAGTGCCGATTGTTCTGTAAAAATATGGACGCTCTTCCCATATTTTCGATGCGCCTAATGCGTGAAAAAGGATCTTTACTTTATTTTTTTTTTAAAGTGATGAAGATGTCTGAAAGATATTGATTTGCGAAGGGTACTGACAGCCCACATCAGAAGTAGACAATCTACATGGCTCATCGTGACTTTGGCAGAGTTGGAGGGGGGGAGGCAAAGGGAGACCGAGAGAGAAGAATCTGAACACTCTGATATCATTGTATAGGAGATCATCTGTGTCAAAATCGATAGAAAGTACACGAGACGGAAGGTTGTAGACAGATAATACTTCCAACGCCACACGGTACGGACTACAATAATAAGAAGTCGTGTGTTCTTTTACGGCCACTGAGGGATAGTTAACATGTACTGGATTGTCTTTAATGTGGTGGCATACAATACAGCAAGTGTGAAAAATGAGATGGATGGCTGGTTTTCTTGCTCGTTAGCCGGCTGGTTGTTTGTTAGTATGGTGATTTTATTTTGTTGGTTGGTTCTTCTGTTCGTTCGTTAGTTAGTTCATTTGTTGGATGGTTGGTTGGATAGATGGATGGATGGATGGATGGATGGATGGATGGATGGATGGATGGATGGATGGATGGATGGATGGATGGATGGATGGATGGATGGATGGATGGATGGATGGTGGGTGGGTGGGTGGGTGGATAGATGTATGGTGGGGGTAGATGGATAGATGGATGGCCCCCATTTAAAGATGCTTTTATAGAGGGGTATCGTATCCTACCAAGTGTCCCGGGTGTATGACTTGCTCCAGTCACGTACAAGAGCTCCTCCAGACGACAAAACGACTATTGGGTTGCTACGGGAGACCAGGAAGAGGCCAATGACAATAGCAGCATTACAACAGGCCAGAGATACGTAACAAGTTCACAACCACAATATATCTGAAACAGATTACATGTCCTGTCGTAATCACCAACACTACCTAAAAACGCTGTAACATACTACACCAGTCCAAGTATGATCTTGTAAGGCGATAAGTCTCTTTATTATAGACGAACAGATTGCGACGACGATGAACTGGTGATCAGTGACTCACTGTCAGTCCACTACTTCCTGCCAGATACACTCACATCGCCAGTCTCTAGAACATGGACAAAACACCCTGGCGAACTATGTACGGGTGGCTACTACGGGCGACTGACGCCCGATAGCGCAGATACACCTGAGTGATGTGCAGTGACAGTCCTCTAACGTTTTCCTATCCAAAAGACTCATCCACCCGAGGATCCAGGGTAAAGGCAGCACTTGGTGAAAAGAATCCATACCTCATGTCTGCAACACAGTCATTCACTGAAGTATCACTGATCAACCACCCGTTAAACATGGCAGATGGTATCAACTAAGGGACGCCACCCTTCCACCGACCATCTTTCCATATACCTCCCTGTTACAACTCCACGCTGGCCAATACACACAAAGTTATCACAGTACCTTCTGCAGCAGTTAGGGACACACCGCCAACCAGCGGGCCACATAGCCGCAACTGTACCGATTTCCAAAATATAACCGAAACAAGTTTATACTAGAAAATCACTCTGACACATTTTCGAAGTCCTACTCATGAACCATCCCAGTGATCTGAACAGTTCCCCTGAGCTGCAACAGAATAAAGCATATTATTAGACTGCCACACAACAAAGTCCACGCGTCCAAATTACTTGAGGCAGTAGAACTATTATATATAATAAACAAACAGGCAATTTACTGATCGGCACTCATAGAAAGAAGTAGAAAGTGATAGAGATTAAAAGCAGAATAGGTCAAGGGAAAGCTGCATTTCAGAAAATTAAAAATATCTTGTGCAATAAACCGCTCTCATTTAATATCAGAAAGAGGGTGCTAAAATGTTACATAGAACCTGTTCTGCTTCATGGCAGCGAATCTTGGAATTTCACTGAACAAATTAAGAAGAATTTGGAAGCAACAGAGATATGGTTTCTGTGTTACGAATACCTCGGACGGCCACAGTAACTAACAACTATTGCTTGAAAGAAGCTAATGAACGTAGATCTCTATATCTATATATATAAAAATCAATGTTTGTGTGTTTGTTTCACCCCTATAGACTCGGAAACTACTGAACCGATTTAGCTGAAAATTTCATGATATGTTTGTTGTGATACCGGATTTTGAACCGTCGTGGTTTGAAATTCAACCTGTCACTGTTAGAGATAGGTGACCACAATTTATGACAAAATATACGCAACTAATATTTATAACTTTAGTGATTTATAATTATAGCCAAGTTAGTAATTGCACATGCGCCGTATTTACCATTCGCCGGCGAGTTACGTGCAGCCAACGCCTTCTCTAATACTAATACATAGAGTAGGTCGTGGTACAGCAAACAAGACTATCTCTATATTTGCCACAATAACCATATTAAACACGATTTCTATTTTCTGTTTTTTTTCAAACAACCTTCGATTGGGGGGGGGGGGGGGGGGGGGCAATCGAGGACTATCTCGACGTCGGCGCAGACAGTGACTGTGACATTAACTTCATTAACCGTGTTAGACACGTGCGATTTCTATTTCAATAATATATCTGGAGTATCTGTCTACGAGAAAACAATTGCCTGCGGTTTTGAATTGTGTTTTAATCGCGACACAGTGGTAGGGACACATATGTCTAATAGTTGTGTTCTCTTTTCGTTGTTCCGATTAAGTGGCTGCTTTGTCGAATGGTTAGAACACTGGGTTCGAATCCGCAGTAGTTAATTTTTTTTTTCTTCTTACCCCGGACTAAAATAATATCCTCATCTGCTCTGTCGTGGTGACAGCACTAGCCATGTTGCCTTAATATAAAAAAAAATAAAAAATAAAAATATAAAAAAAACAAGTAAATGGGTAAACCATTTGATAATTAAATTTGACCATTTCGCATACTTATGATTGCATTGTTAAACTTTCCGATTGCATGGTTACGCTGAAATTTTATAGATTTTCATTTATTTTCATTTAGATTTAGTTATTTCATCTGTGTTGGTATTTTAAGCTGTGCTGTTCACAATGGCGTTCATTTCCTAATTATGGTTTTTTTTTTTTTTCCTGTGTTCATTTGCTTTTCAAGTGGTTTTTTTTTCTCCCAACTACTTCAATGTGGGAAAGAGTTATCGGTGAATTTGGGGGGAAGGGGGGGGGGGGCAAACTATTAACTGAGAGAGCTTTAAGTCACAGTAACTGCTTTACCCACTTAAAGTAGCAGCAGCAGTAACAGTTGTGGTTGGGCTGTTACACCATAGTGCTCTCATGTGAAGACCGCCGGTAAGGTTATGGCGTTCTTCTGTCGGCAAGTGAAATTATACATCCTAACCTGACCAGTCTGTGGCGACAGCACTAGCCATGCGGAACCAAATCTTCTGGCTCACGACTCTCTGTCTACTCCGATGGTAACACAAATAGCAGTGACATTATTTTAGTAGTTGTACTGGTACTTGAAAGATGATGGGGTAAATATTTCACTAGCCCTATTCACTCCCTTTTACAATTCCTGCTCCTTATTTTAGTCCAGATGGACAGGGATGTCAATGTCAGTTACAGCAACAACAAAATATCGCCAGTTAGTGATTTTCAAATCCTTCGAAGAGGGAGAGAGCAGTAGTCGGTGGAAGAGGGGAGGGGAGGGGGGTAATGACTTAAATTTAAGAGAACTTAAAGAGCTTTACACGTGATTTTCAAGTTCTCATTACCTAATTTGTTTATATTTTACTAACACTACCTCCGCTTTTCTATTTTTTACGACTTACTTTGTTATTTACAAGTACAGTTGTAGCTTTACTTCCGTCTCCTATAAAAATACAAACAGCTTTAGCATGTGATAACCAAATAACCACTTTTGTTACCGTGCTAATAACACCATTTAAACGACCACTAATATAAAGACACAATTATATGGTGCGTGTTCTAAAGTTGGAAAACCAGACTATCTATCTATATATCTTCTTCTATATATATAAAAATCAATGTTTGTGTGTTTGTTTGGTCTCTATAGACTCGGAAACTACTGAACCGATTTAGCTAAAATTTTCAGGATATGTTTGTTGTGATACCGGATTTTGAACCGTCGTGGTTTGAAATCCAACCTGTCACTGTTAGAGATAGGTGACCACAATTTATGCCAAAATATACGCAACTAATATTTATAACTTTAGTGATTTCTAATTATAGCCACGTTAGTAATTGCGCATGCGCCGTATTTACCATTCGCCGGCGAGTTACGTGCAGCCAACGCCTTCTCTAATACTAATACATAGAGTATGTCGTGGTACAGCAAACAAGACTATCTCTATATTTGCCACAATAACCATATTAAACACGATTTCTATTTTCTGTTGTTTTTTTTTCAAACAACCTTTGATGGGGGGGGGGGGGGCAATCAAGGACTATCTCGACGTCGGCGCAGACATTGACTGCGTCATTAACTTCATTAGACAGGTGCGATTTCCATTGTCTTTCTTTTCTAAAAACCTTTGATGAGGGAGAGAGTACTAGGTGAATTTAGTTGTGGGGGGGGGTGGGGGGATCAAAGACTATCTCAAATTACGCCACAGCAACGCGTGGCCGGGTACAGCTAGTAAAACAATAAGAAAGAGACAAACACTGTTCTTTGGCCACAACATGAGAAGACAGACACTGGAGAACATCGTGACAACTGGAAAGATCAGTGGGAAAAGGGGTAGAGCTAGACCAAGAGCTAGACTGGATGGGCTGAAATGATGGCATAGAGGGATATCATCAAGAGAGCTGTTCCAGACACCAGGGATCGTGATCTGTGGAGAGGCATGAGCACCTACGCCAGTTGGCAGAGCACATGATTGGGATGATGATATTATATTTATTAGGTATGAAATATTGTAATTATACTGCGCAATTAGAAAAAAAAAGGTTTCAGCCTCGTGAGCCCCGTTTAACCCCCCCCCCCCCGCCCCCTATGCCTTCTTTTTGACCCCCGATGTCTTGCACGGCTCTTTTTCCCCACTCCATGTTCTGAAACCAGTGGTGTTTACGAATCCTGGACTGCAACCTTTCAACTGAAGAGAGGCATATCTGGTTGCTTTTTTTTTACAGCAGTCATTTACATATGACTGTGAAACGTGGACCTCAACAGCTGAACTGGAAAAGAAGACACGAACATTGGAAATGGAATATTTCAGAAAAAAATGCTTGGCATAACATACAGAGACCACATTACAAATGACGAGGTTCGTCGTATAATTATAAAGTACAGTGGCAACTACAAACCTCTTGTAACTACAGTGAAAAATTGCGAAATGCAGTGGTACGGAAATATAGTAAGATCTAACGGCCTCTCAAAAACAATACTACAGGGTTCAGTAGAGGGGAAGAGGAGAAGAGGCTGACCAAGAAAGACCTGGTTACAGAACCTGACTGATCGGACAGACCTCAAGCATGCAACCATGAAGTCCATCGCATCTGATCGTCAAATGTGGAACGAGCTGATGAGACAGTCAACAGCGTGCAGTGACTCAATGACACGCAGTTTTACGGGATGATGACGATAACGACGATGATGATGATGAAACAGCAGATGTGTACTGCTTGGGGTTAGGTTTAGGTTAGTAATGCGCCCGCTGGGGTTTTGGAATTTTATTGTCAATAAAACTCCAACCCAGAACCAACTCGGAAGATGGGGAAAAAATGGGGGGAGGGGGTGATATTATTCAGCAATAGCTAAAATGTTTTGAATACTTCTTCAGCTGAGTCTGCTGGGACGACCAGAAGAACAACCTCGCTGGAATCACCCGTATCTGTTCTGCGATGAGAAGGACAAGGCGACCATGTTCACGCCATCCGCTGCACTGGTTATTGAATACTATGTGGCAAACAATGGTGAGTAAGTTAGCAAGTGTAGGATTGTCTCCCTCGCTCGCCATGGGTGCTTCTTTTAAAAAAGGTTAGTTGCATATCCTTTGAATTTTTTTTTTTTTTTTTTTCAAAGATGCACATATTAATTTCTACTCTAAATAGGTGAAATGAATGTTACTGTTCGTGCACCTAATCAGTATTCCCTTGACATCATAGTTCGAACATGATTTTCTCGAAATAAGGATTTAACACAGGTAAATCGGTGCAGCAAATCAAGAAATGTATTCAGTAAGCACAAACTATGATCAGGAAATTCCGCAAGAATTTTTTTCTTTTCTTTGTTAAGTTGATAAGGACGTCGACTGACACAATCAGATGTATCCGCGTGCATCTTCTCCTCCCCTGTATATGTACATTGTCCTCTTTACTAAAAAGTCGCAAATTTTAATTTTTTCCTGATATCAGCTGGTGTAGTGTAAAACGGTAAGGGCCTCATGGCCTTTTTTTTTCTTAAGCTGAGGATCTCATCAGGTCTCCATGTAGACCTGTCTACCAGTCCTAGCTGAATTTATTTGTTGATTCCTGGACATACCAGGTGTGTAGTTGGTGGTCATAACATAAACAATCTGCGTTAAGCCGATGACGCCATCTTAATAGCGACAAGTCAGAAAGCACTACAGGGATCAATAGTGATTAATGGGGGCTTCACCTCGAACAATGAGAAGACAGAATCATTAGTAATATCAAACAAAAGAATGGCGCCCTAATGTATTATACAAGTAAACGGTGTTATTTTAGAAGAAATATGGAAATTTAAGTATCTAGACACAGGCATAAAATCTAGCGGAAGGTGTAGCATAAAGGTAAAGAACACAAAAGGACGTGTTAAAACTGCTTTTTTTTTTTAATAACGAAGAAGAATTTTTTACGCTATAAATCTATGTTATTGGAGGTTAGGAAAAGAATTCTCTCATGCTATATGGAGTCAGTTTTAATATACAGCTGTGAAGTCTTGACAATTAATAATTAAGCCGAACAATTTGGTGAGGCCTTGGAGATGTGGTTTTACGGAAGAATCCTGAGAATTCACTGGGCAACCGTGTGTTTTATCTGCCGCAGAAGAAAGGAACAATCAACTGTCCACAAGTAAGCCAGTAAAACGGATGCACATGCAAAACTCAGGCCCTGGCACGAAGCCAAAGTCAAATGGACGAACAACCAGGATCGTTTAAAAAATTGCATAATGGACCCAACAAAGCAGCCGTGAAGCAATTCCTAGACCAGTAAATTTTGCTTCGTCTGAAGTACATGATTTATGTTGCTATGTAATTCCAACACTATCGCCTGGAGAGACGGACAGTTGCCAACTAACAGGCTCTTCCAACACTAACATCTAAAAAGATGGAAAATTGCCAACTAGCTAATTGGTAATTCTAACACTAAGGTATAGAAAGATGGAATGTTGCCAACTAGCTACCTGGTAATTCGAACACTAACGTCTAGAAAGACGAAAAGTTGCCAGCTAACTAACTGGTAATTCCAGCACTAACGTCTAGAAAGATGGAAATTTGGCAGCTAACAGACAATTCCAACACTATCACCTGGAAAGACGGAAGGCTGCTAACTAACAGGTAGTTCCAATATTTTCATGCGTTGCATCAGTGTGTGTTGCGCACGTAAACTGGATACCATGGAAATGTTCATAGTCTTCTGGGAATTACCTCGGAGAAAAACACGATTAAGGTTTTCTGTGAATTGCATAGGAAAGCACTTCGACAAGGGAGAGAACTAAGAATGCCATCTAAAATAACATAATTTAGAATATGTGAAGGCCAAAACTTCCATTTTCCAAATGGGTTCTTCCAGCAATGACCGACGAGTTCTGGAGAATCCAGAGTCCAGTGGGGTTTTCCTCTCTACTGTTGGATCAGAAGGTGTACAAGCTGCTGTGTCAGGAGAAGGCACAGAACGGACTGCGGGTAGATGGCATCCCGATTATGGTAAGTCTTCTTCTTATTTTTATTATTATATAACGTCGTCGTCTTCTTCTTCTTCTTGTTCTTTTTGTTCTTCTTCCTCCTCTTCTTCATCATCTTCTTCTTTCTTCTCTTTTTATTTACTTCCTCTTTCACCGCTTCGGATGTCGGGGGAGACAAAAGATTCTGCTTTTTGCTCAGTTCCGACATACCCCCCCCCCTCAACCTCTTATGACCTCATTCCTGACTTAATCTCTACTGGTGAATCCTACAGCCCTTCTCAGACATCGCATTTCCATGGTTATTAACTAATTATTTTTTTTCAGGTATGTAATGAGAGACCATGTTTGGCACTGGTAGCATAAAATGGGAAGAAATAGGCTTTTTTTTTAAAGATGTTTCTTTGTGTTGATCGGGATTGTCTTATGATGCAAGAGGGTGGTTGACTGTCCTAATACTTGGGTTGCTTTAAATTGGTGTAATTTCTTTATCCAATTTACCATTCTTAAACTCTTTATTGTCTGGAGAGTAGTCGTCTGTCTGGTACTTCGAAACACTGTATGGTTCTGTGGCCTAGAGGCTAGTGAAATTGTTTCATAATGCAAAACTCGACGTTTACGAAGGTTCAAATCCCACCATGTGACCGTCCTCTTGTCTTTCAGACAGTGGTACGAGAATGGCAACGAGGAAAAGATTGGGGGCTTCACCAGGTAATATTCCCACAGTTAGCAGAAGAAACATTGCAGCCAATTTTTTTACTGTGGAGACAACACTTTAAAAAATAACATTCTAAACACCAGAAACACATCAGAAGCAATAAAGGGAAAGGGGGTCGCTAAAAAGTGCGGGAAAAAGAAGAAGGGAGAGGGGAAGACAAGAGAGAAGAAGGGAAGAGATACTCAGATTAGTAAGTTGGCTTGACAGCACGGTGGTCGTCTGTTCCTAAGCCCACCTAACGACTTTGTGTGTGTGCCTAAAATAAGCGCCGGAAAATTTCCTAGAGAATAAAGGTGGTCGGTACTATGCTGACTGTATAACACCGATATAATGACAATCGGTCTGTAACCGTAGAGTTAGCGCTATTTGCCCTATACATCTGAAGAAATGGATAATGGTCCTATATATAGTTACTGTACAGTTGTACCTTGGTAAGTACTTTTCCTACTTGGACCTGATTGAGGCTCATATGTTGTTGCACCCGAGTCGTATTCCAGACAATAATCGCATACCAAAGAAAGCTTTTTATTCACGTATAAACAGGACATATCCCAAGTTAGACTTATTAGAAAACGGACGCATACCGAGGTACCACTGTTTTTTTTTTGGTATCCCTGGCCTGCGAAGACGCCTCTTTGATAATCAGATAGAGGTAGCATTTATTCAGAAACAAACATGATATTGCTGTCCGTGTACACTTCCAGGGCAGTGACCTCCGGTGCAGCGATGAGAGAGTTCCGGTCATCGACACAGTCCTCAAACTAATAACCACACATGTAAGTTATCACCACCTATGTTGTCTGCGAGAATTCTCAAACTAGTAACCATACATGTAAGTAATCACCACCTTTGTTGTCTGCGAGAATCCTCAAACTAATAACCACACATGTAGGTTATCATCATCTTTGTTGTCTGCGAGAATCCTTAAACTAATAACAACACATGTAAGTTATCACCACCTATGTTGTCTGCGAGAATCCTCAAACTTATAACCACACATGTAAGTTATCACCACCTATGTTGTCTGCGAGAATCCTCAAACCTATAACCACACATGTAAGTTATCACCACCTTTGTTGTCTGCGAGACTTCTCAAACTAATAACCACACATCTAAGTTATCACCACCTGGAAACAGGAAAACCATTAACATACCCACCAGAGATAGCAGAAAAATGGAGCGAATACTTCAGTCTCTTTAACACCTTAAGATATTGCCAGGAAAGAATAACTAACTAATGATACAAAACAACAGTGCAAGAACCTGATATACTGACTGAAGTAGTTAAAAGTCATTAGGCAGTCACACAAATACAATGACCGACAATTAAGTAATGATACTAATTCCATAAAAATTTAAATAATTAACAGTTTAAGATCTAACCTGTATCTGATTCTAAGTAAACCTCTTGGCACGATCTAACAAACACTGGAACGACCTCTGTAGTTCTTCTTTTGTTATGGCCCTTAAAAGTTACGGCCCTTTGGATGTCATCAATATCGTTAAAGAAGCGTCCTTTCAATCGTAACTCTAATTTTGGGAATAGAAAAGAAGACAAATCTAGGAAATAGGGTGTTAGGCTGAGAACACACACTTGTTTTGGTGACAAAAATTATTGTTTTGATGATGTCTCTTGGGTACTCAGCCCGCTGAAATTTTTGGTCATCAGACAACGAATGTGGTACAAACCGACAAGCAACTTTTTTCTTGCCAAAATCTTGCACTAAAATGTTTTGAATTGTCTCTCTATTAACGCCATCATCCTAACATTAAAACAATGATCTTCTTGGATTCGTTCTCTGACTTTTGCTATGAGTTAATCTTTATGAACAGAAATTTGGCGTCCAAGTCTAGGTGCACTAGTAATTATTTCCACACCATTTTTGAATCGTGAATACCACCTAAAAATGTGTGCATGAGATAAACAATTATCCCCATAAACTTATTGCATCAATTTGACTGTTTCAATGGCGCTTTTTCTGAGTTTTAAACATAATTTAATTTTAGCATTTTGCTTCCTGCTGATTACGTAACAGTGCACTTCTGACTAGGTCAGCGAAATGGCAGCTTATTTGTTGTCTGCTTATCGAGCAGCGATGAAAAGTTGCCAGGTCATAGATGAATGTTGCCTCTTTAGATTCCCTGCTTTGCTTTATAGATAGCATTTTTGTCTTGGCCATAATAAAATCAGTCTCATTACTTAATTGTCGGACCTTGTATAAAGCACAAGGAGCTGATAGGTTATCATCAGAAATAATCCAAGCAGCAGGTAAAAGCAAAATTAGATTGCTCAACGAAATATTCAGTGCTGCATGGGAACAACAAACTGCTCCCATTGACTGGCAACATGCGATAGTTGTACCATTGTGGAAGAACAATGGAAGCAAGCGAGAATGCAATCAATATCGAGGCATCTCTCTTTTAAGTAGGGCTGTATCGAATATTTGCTTCGTATTCGCTTTGGGGCCGAATAGTGGACCTATTGACTATTTGGTATTTGGCCGAATAGTTGCGCTCGGGCCGAATACGAATAGTAATTACCTTACACCCGCTTCTGCATACACGGCATTAATGCTGACAACATGGAACGATTGGTTTTGTTAAAAGCTAATGCAGCTTTCCTGCATTAACTAAGCTGTCAGTGACAATTTCCAAGTTTAGTTACTTGTTAAAATACTCAGGATTCTTTCATTCCTAGTTATTAGTTACCACAAAAGGACTGTGAATAAAAACATAAACAGTAAACATAAAATGTTTTTAAATGTTTACCATTCTGTACGAATACTAACTAGACATGGAAAGAATATAAACTCCGGCCACATCCAAGTCGATAATATGAAAATAAAACGAACGGAAACATATAAGTACTTGAGTGCAAACTTCAACTGCTCCAACATGCTGAGAGAAGAAATACAACCTATAATACAATCTAGAAATAAAGTATACTATGCCTTTCAACATCTACTAAAGTCAAAGTGTCTGTCTCGCAACACCAAGATCAAAATATATAAAACGTTGATAAGACTAAATGTTTTATATGGCTCTGAAACTTGAAGCAGAAATAAAAGAGATGAGGCCTTATTACAGGTTTTCGAAAATAGTCTTACGACAAATCATTGGACCCATCGAGGATGCTAACTGCTGGGAATGGAGAGTGAGAAGCAACAACGTAACACATAATCTGTTTAAATCTCCATTGATCACTGGCATCATGAGAGCTAACAAATGGTTGGGGCATATGGAAAGAATGCCAGATGGCATCTCTCTCTCTCTCTCTCTCTCTATATATATATATATATATATATATATATATATATATATATATATATATATATATATATATATATCTTTCTATCTATCGAATCAAGTCAAGCCTGTGTATGAAGGAATGACAGAGATTTTTTCATACAGTTGCTTCCTGTTTCAGGTTTGTTAGAAGTACAGTACAAACTAATCGACATAGGTAATACTTTAACATACAAACATCAAGTCCATTGCATCAGATTAAGAAGTGGGTGGGGAGGGGGCTGATTAAACACGCAACTGGTGACCTACAAACACGTTGTGTTATGGGACAATGATGATGATGATGGTAGTGATGATGAGAATAAGGACTGTGGTGGCGTTGATGATATTGATGATAATCACGAATAACCGATAGTTGAAAGGCTGTAATGTAATATGTCCCTTCATTTTGATACATGCAAAATAACATGGTTTTGACCACAAATGATTTCACTGTCATATGCAGCAACCAACGTCCATGGTTGCTATGAGCAACCTAGACAATCTTCCGGCCATGGAGCTCCGTGATGGGGCCGGTACCGCGGCTCATACAGCCGACATTCTCCAGGTGCGGACGCCCACGCCCCAGTCTGAGCACGAAGAGGAACAGGAGGAGGTCGTCGAAGAGGACGATGGGCAAATTGAGCCTGGGCTCTATCTGCAGAAGGTTGATCGCGATCGTTTGGTGAGTTCTTCGTTGTTTATTGTTAAGGATTTCTTCTTATTCTGGGTTCGTCCTTTCGAAAATGGTTGATACATTGGGGTGTGGTATGCACTACGCTGTGACATCTGCACCTCTCGGCCAGACACATCCATCTCTGCCAATCCTTAATTCATCATCATCATCAACTGCCTTGCCGACTGGTGTGGGGATCATTCCTCTTCACAAACTGCGATCTTTAACAGCGTATATCAGTTTGTGTGTTGATTCCCTTCTGTACCATGACAAAAGAATCGTCTCGCATGTCTTCCTTTGTCTTTTTTCCACATGCTTTCCAGTTTTGTCACATCTTCCAGTTTTCTTCTTCTCATAACATGACCCCAAAAAATTGAAGGCCGTCTCTCTCTCTCTCTCTCTCTCTCTCTCTCTCTCTCACACACACACACACACACACACACACACACACACACACACACACACTCACTGATGATTGTGATAAGTTGTCTTTAAGCTCTCGCCTCTGTCAGAATATTTGCGTTGCTCTTTTGGGCTATTCAAAGAACTCAAAAGATTCTCCTGTAAAATAAAGTCTCCGAGGCCTCCAGAAATTATGTGGCTTGTTTTATTAACTGTCCATGATTGACAGCCATATGTTAAAAGTAGCTCTCTAAAATTAATGTATTTTTTCACGCCTTTATGCGTATTGGGCATATAGGGGTATACCTATATTTTTAGACCAACAGGCACGCGCTGGGTGATGTGGTAAACATCACGCAGACCGCGTTTACTTCCCATGACTATACACGATACCCACTCAAGACTGGGTCGACCTGGGAGCCTAGGTCGTATTTGAAAAAAGTCCGGCACCGTCAGAACCGAACCCACGACCTTGCGATCCGCATGCGAGCGTCTAACCGCTACACCCCAGCGACTCCCTGGCTCTATAAAACATGCCAGAATTATTATCCTAATCTCCATCGCCGTGCATTTGTTACATGAAATATTCTTCATGTTATAATATTGCGGTTTTAGCCAGTCCTATTTTGTACTTTATCTCTGTGATAAATCTTCCGTCCGATACTTACATTTCTGTACTTGTTCTTTCTCCGTCTTCTTTTTTTTTTTTTTTTCTCTGTTCACCGGCTGTAAGCTCCGATGGAAAGTCCTGGTTGTTCGTCCATTTGGACTGTGGCTTATTGCCAAGGCCTCAGTTTTTGCGTGTATATTCATTTTACTGGCTTATTTGTTTGCTTTTGGTTGTTCCTTGCCGCTCAGGCAGATGCACTCCGACTTCGAAGGAGGTCCCTAATGAGTCTACCCTACGACATGCTTGGGGAGCCAGAGGGTCTATTCCTGTTTTCCTCCACAATGGGGCTTCGGAACCAACACATGGACTGTACTTGTCTGAAACACTTTACTGACTTTAATAGCCACTTTTATGACGGTGAAGGACAGTCTGTGTCCGGACAACACATCATTTTAGCAACATAGGCGACACCAAGACTATCCAAATATCTGAGCGGGTTTATGAACAAAGAATAAATAAATCCCTGTTTGTTCTTGTTGTGCGAAGTTTAAACCCACACAGTAAGCCTTCACACATTAAGCCGTGCATGTGAATAGCTGTCACTTCATTGTAGCTCTTCTATGCTGAAATCAATGGTATTTGTATTTGACCCGTGACCACGTTGCTAGGTTACATCAGTAAACAAATCCTGGCTTTTGCTTGTCGGGGACCTAAGTGGGAACAAGTAACCTGGTAAACAACTTTTTACCATTTAATGTCAGAATGTGTTGACAAATCACTACGTCATAGGAAGTCGCCATGTTTTACTGTGCGATGGTGTCTTTAACCTAATAAATGTTTTAAGAACAAGTAGGTTTAATGCTGAAAATGAACAAATAACATCAAAAGCATGTTAAAAAACTTCGAATTTCGACGGATTACACCGAAAGACATGACGACGTCATGATCAAGACTGATAGTAAAGAACGAATGTGCATTAAAGTTAAATAAAACAAGAGGACACGTCAAATCGGTCTACAGATGTGTAGTAGTTTGTCGTCTTGTGTATTTTACTTTTTGTACAAATAATATATCATATCGACGTCTGCAAGGTGTCTTGTCAATATGGCGACTCTCTACTACCGACCGTATACATCTGAGGTAAGAAGAAGTAAGCAGAAAATTTCATTGGCGGACAAGATAAGAATTGTTGCCATTATGCCATGTCATTAATTACTTGTTAAATTTATTATATCAATACCATAAAAGTATGTAAACCTGTTCCTTAAATCTGTACTTTTTTCAAGTCGTTCCATTGTATTTTGGAGAAAAAAAAACCATCATCATGTAGCAGGTCTGTTCAGAACATTGCTCTTTTCACAACCAGCAGGTAAGACGTTGACAGTTGCCATTAATATCCTGTTCCTGCTTTTGTGCGGGTCAACTCGTGATCTTCCTTGAAAAAGATTTGTCATTATTGTTCTTCCAAAATCATTGTGGTGTTGATTATTGCTGAAGTGTTTACAAACTGCTAAAGGGTGAGGAATAGTCTGAAGCAGTGTTTCCTTAAGTGGAAACCCGCCCCTCCCCAAGCCCCCCCCCCCCCCCACTGGAGATGCTGTGATGTCTGAAAGGGGCAGTATCGTTATTAATCAAATTGGTGGGGGTTGGGGGGGGGGGGGTAGCAGCACCAGGTGCAGCTTGCAAACATTGAATTTTTTCAAAACAGAGCGGCAGAGACAGAGAGAGAAAAAAAAGCAAGAGAGGGAGGAAGACAGAGAGCAGTTTGATAAACTGTTTATACCATTCTCAGTGGAGTGTAGCAGATTAAAATCGCAAGGATGGTTTAATTTTAAGAAAAAAAAAAGAAACCAAGTATGTTGTAACCAATCAGATTTATCCTTCTCATGAAAGAATCTGTTATTCCTTAGCTTTGTTTTAATGTTCCCCTACTGCAACACTGAGTGGAAGGAGTGTTTGAGCTAAAGCGTCTACAAGCAGCAGTTACTCACAACAGATATTGTTGAATAAGAGACTTTCAGTACCAGCGATCTGACAGAATTTGAATAAAAAGCTTTTTCAGCTATACTGCCAGAGAAAGTTCTAAACAGCCCTTCGTCATGGCACATGAACTGAAACACAGTGTTGAAGATGGCAAGTTGTAGAAAAGATTGATCACCAAGTCAGTCAGCAAGACACATAGATGTATAGGACTGTGTGTGCCTGCGAACAAGCAAACAAAAGCATAAACATTTCCAGTGCATACTACTTAGGACAGTCTCAGATTTTTATCAGTAATAAGTTTGTTTATGACTGGCAATTTTTCTTGCTTGAAATGTTATCTAGATAAGACACAATTTTTTTTAAGAAGAAATACTTTTTCGGTTGCCAGTGAGTTCTCCTTATCAGGCCTGCACTGTACTAATATTATCATGGATTTTTCTTCAGCCAATCAAAGATGGAGAGATGCCACCTTATGAAGCTGTAGAATCCATTCTGCCAGAATACCAGTATATCTTTGTCGACCCCAACCAAGACACAGCCAGGTCCAACAAATCTAAGCCACCAGCTCCACCATCAAGGCTGGTCAACCCTCCAGACCGTGGAATCTCTCCTCAAACAGCAACCACAAGGTTTGTAACATCATCACATAATATTTAAATGTAGTTATTCCAGAGTTATGTCTGGAGTGCAATGATGATAACCCAACTAAGTAACTAACTAACTAACTAACTAACTAACTAACTAACTAACTAACTAACTAACTAACTAACTAACTAACATTTCAGAGTTGGTATATTTGTGTGTATGTTGTGTTGTGCAACTAATCACTGCAGTATATTCATCCCAGGGCATGCAGGCATTGTTGGTAATGAGACAGCTGATAGACTGGCAGGTACTGATTAATTGAAGATGGCCGGCCCATGGATCACACAGACATTGTCATTGTCCTTAGAGAGATAGGACGTTCTGAGGATTTTAGAAGCAATGTGTCCACATCACTTCTAAGAATACAAGAATTGGGAGTAAAGATCGGCACAGCCAAGCATGAGGAGCACACTGGACGCACACGAAGTCTTCTTAACCAACATGGGACTGGTATTATTAACCGCACGACGCTGATGAATGTGTTGAGAGGGGAATCTGAGCGCCTATGGATGTGTCCGGAGTGCTGTGAAGATATTCCAACTCATAACTCAGTCCTCTGTTTATTGTAATTGGCTTTGTAAGGCTGACGTATGCTTTATGTTTTTCTTACCCTTTTCTATCTCCTCCTTTCTCTGCACTTTCCTCCTTTTTTTTATTTTTATTTTAACTAATTGGCATTCTGGAATACATATGGTCAGTTATAGTGGTCTCATTTCACATTGCTTTGGTGCTTTAGTTCTATTGATTTCACTTCTTGTTGCCTTGATGCATTTTTACAGGGACCCTTTTGACCTTGATCAAACACACATGTCTGTCCTTGACCAGCAAATGCGTGACCTTGACAACTACAGAACTGCGTTACAGAAAATGGGTCACGATATTCTTACTCTGAGAACTCAGGTAATGCAAAACCTGCTATATTTTATTTGAATAATAAACCTATTAACTTGGAAAATTACGTATTAGTTTTAAACAGTAAATCATAACCATGATATTTCTTTGTACAAAATAAAATAATTCTTAAATTTTGCATTATATTATTTGTGACAGTTGAAATTGCTAAGTGGCTAGCATTTGTGCCTGCTGGCACAGTGATCAGGTTATCAAACCCTAAAGGAGGCCAAGATTTGTTCCTTAACCCAGGTCTTTTGATCAGTCCAGCATAAAACTGATACCAGGAAATTTACTTTGAAATCAAGTCTTTGATACAATACTGACCAAATCGCCCATTAAAAAAAAAAACCCACCCGCCCCCCCCCCTCCCCCCCCCCCACCCCCCCCCCCCCCCCCCCCCCCCCCCCCCCCCCCCCCCCCAAAAAAAAACCTAGTCAAAAATATGACTGTATGATATGTTGTCATAATGAACATC